ACATGCTGACTACTGTAGCTAACGACAGCAGATAAACACACTGTTTTATCCGTTTCTTACACATTCGCCCTTGGGTTTTTGTTTTTGAAAGGGCCCCGCATCCTACCCAAACCCTTCAAACTCTTAGATATTGAAAATCACTGTTGCTAGAGCCCCATGCACACTACTTCAGTAAGTGGGAAGAGAGAAGTCAAATCACAGATACTAAATGTGCATTTAAACTTGGTCCGCTCAATTTTCATATTACTGTATCTACTGGGAGATGTTTGGTCAAAATCTCACCTGAGTGGGGGAGAATACAAGGGAACAGGCCACTGTCTGATTGCCCTGGACCTCCACAACACTCACACCTGGCTCCTTCTCTGCTTGTGAAAATGCACAGAAACAATCACCAAAATAAAAGCACACACACTAGACAACATGTTGTGTATCAAAATGGCAGGAACACATTTATTTTATGTATTTTTTCTACAGCCCACACATACAGTAACATAATGTCCTGTGTCTTCTTTTCTTCTTAGGACATATTACACACCCACCATCATACTGTATGTCAACTGTGTGATATGCTGCATTGTGTGTGTAAATACGTACTTGCTGAGGGCTGAGGGAGCTGCAAACAGAAGTCTGTGTATTCTGACAGATTGAAGGCGACGCGGGCTCTGGCTGACGAGCGGTTTGTCAGAGCAAACGGTATCGCTCGCTGAGAACCAGCATGGACGCCGTAAAACTGGAAATGGGACTGAAAAGAGGGAGGGAGAAATTAAAACAAGTAGATAAGAGAGAAACAGTCATCTCAAAGGTGGATAAAAAAACTGCATGTATAATAAGGCCGGAAACCATTACGTTCAGCGAATAAGGATGAATGAAATCATTAAATGCCATTCCGGTTGTCTTTCCCAGACATTTAATAGGTTACCATCTCAGCGAATTAAACAATACAAATGTCATACCGAAAAGGTGAAATTGGTACCTTTCATTGTGCTTTGAGAAGAGAGGTCAAGCTGCTTAGAAAAGTGTCTGAAAAGTCTCTGAATCCCTATTATCTCTTCAGTATGATGAACTTATCTAAAAACTCCACTCTTAAAGTTTCAGGGAGCACTGTAACAATTGCGTCCTGCCAAGGCAACTCTGTTCCAGCGCCTCAACAGCTACAGCAAATAACAATGAAAGAGAAAGAATCATTTTCTACTTTCAACAACTGGAAAACATACAAAAGAAGAATATCCTTGACTCCACTGTTTCCGAAGACACAAACTTTTACACAAAGCCTGACTTTTTCTTCCTCGAAAATGAACACCTTGTGTTTAAGAACACAACATACGAAATGGCCACTTTGTATGTTACATATGGTATTACTGTTTCTCTATAATAGTAGAAAGACAGATGGGACTCAAACAGATATATATAATACAGAATATGATGGCTATGAGTCCTTTATGGAGTACAGTGTATTTTTCTTTGTATATTGTGATTTCTTTATATATACGTTTTGTCTAAACATATAATTATCCATAGGAACTATTTCTCAACTCAAAGATGCTGTCCAACAAGCTCCGTTTGTTATTAACAATCTATTGGCACATATATCTACATGTTTTTGGAGTGTCCTGATTATATTTGCTGCCAATGTGCTATTGGCTTGCATGCCATGTCTACCGAGCACAGTGGTGATGAATGATGAGCTGCTTCTTAATCTGTCAAGATATCAAAAGAAGGTCATTTTCTCATTTGACTGCAGCTAAGAAAATGAAGATAAAACCTCTGCATATATTATGTATTTGACAGTGGGCCTTTTATTTTCACAATCTTTTAGCTGCAGAAATGTAGATGACGAGGCAATCGCTGCTATTAAGACAGCTGATTAAGTCAAGTTTCTATAAACTACAAAGTGACAAGAGGGGTCAACAACCGTGTGGGTGGATGAATTATGTAATTTTTCTTTCTTTTCCTCCATTTTCTTCCTCTTCGTCTTGCATTTATACGGCAGACAACTGTATAAATATATGCTTGTACTGTTTTGGCATGCATGAATAGTGTGAAATACTAAAAAAAGTTTAAAAAAAATAATCATTTTATAATAGCGGCAGTGAAGTAGCAGCTTAATGATCCCTAAAATGATGATGATCACAAAAACCTGGCAAATCAAGGTCGAGGTCACTAATCAAACACCAACAAGGTATGTTTAGGTATGATAACCTGGAACGCCAGTGCACAAAGAGTGGTACAAAATGCACAAACCAAGGATCCCTGAACTATAGAATACATTTTTGGTAAATAGGTTTTGCTGCAACAGTAGGTGTGTAGGATTTCCACTTCACATATCAACGAAAAACACATTTTGCGTCTTAGAGAAAGAGCTCAACTGACCACCTACACACGGTTAAGGATTTATATAATAGTTTTGCTGTGAAAACCAACGCTTTTCTAAAGTTTAAGAGTGGCCTTACTCCTTCTTGGATTGTTGATATTCATATTTTGTTCAGTGTCTCCCTTGGAACAAACATGTAAGAAAGCCAGTTAGTGAATTTCTTACTATAAATTAAGGAGTTTGGAGCCAGTCAAAACTGCATCTCAGTCTGATATAGTGACCTGTGGCAAATGAAAACAAATTGGCTCGGGATGTTCCAACAACCGCGAGAACTGAATGTCATTAAAAAAAACATTAGATGCTCTGTGTATTGTTGCTGTTATTGACTCTGAACATCCCTTTGATTCTGAATATTGAGTTAATGTCTTCTGGTAAATAAGAATAACTGCCTTCTTGCCATAAAAAAACTGGATGACTTCAAACATGATCTAACTTAACACCAACAAGACAGAGCTCTTTACCAAATAAAACCCTGGACAGATTTCAATAAGCCAAGAACTCTGCTTAACACCTCTCTGGTCTCCTCCACATCTACACCCCCTCTCAATTTGCAATGCTGAGCTCATTTCTGTTTTTAAATGTAGACATATCCTTCTATATGTTTGTTTTCTTTATGTAAAGTGTACTTGAGTTACATAAAAGGTGCTTCAAATCAAATTTCTTATTATTTACAAATGGATCCTTTGTACCAAGTGCAATCAATATGATGAACAACTAACTGTTTATTATATCGACTGCGCTTCCGACATGGAGCAAAATATAGATTGATTTATTTGAGAGTGACAAAGGTAAATACTGCAATCACCCAGTCCTGACATATAATTAAATTGAGGAGGATAAAAACAAAATAAAGCTAAAAGCTTATTCCCATTGTGCTCCTCATTAGAAAGCCAAAGAAGTAAGATTGAAGATTTGGCTAGACTAAGTGTGTTTTCCTAAGTTCATGCGTGAGTTTTTTAGAAGTTAACTTACAAGCTGATGGGTTATTGTCTGCTGTAAGATGTAATCTAATAAATGCTTTTATGCTAAGAAACTGTTTCGTAATCCTCTTATTATGCGATCTCTTTTTCTCTACCCATATTTATTGCTGTGGTCTGTCACTCCTTCATCGATACAGAAAAAACTGTGTGTGCACAAACGTAACATCAAAAGACACAGAGAAACTCACCACACTGGTGTCTACATTTGGAGGCTCCACTGATCCGCCCACTCGGAGTTCAATGGACTTCATGCTCCTCAGAGCTATCTGTAATAGACACAGATGGTTATGTACATCAGTTCCTCTCTTTATTTATTACACAAACACAGGGACAAATTATTGTATATGCATATGTATGTACATAAACATTCAGATAAGCCCTCTCCTTTCTTCCTATCTTTCTCACCTCGACTCTGGTGTCAAACTTGATGACAGAGTCAGGGTTGAAGTGGATCTTAAGAGCAGCCTGCCCCCCACTTGGCACCACGCCCTCAGGTGGACTCACCACCATGCCTGGCAGAGGGCAAAGATCCAGCACCTGCCTCAAACAAACAGAGACACAGAGCAGAGAGATTGGCTATGTTTCTTGTTTAGTTTGTACAAGTATCAGTGCAAAAACAAGTGTGTGTGTGTGTGTGGGAACCTGGTAGTAGGCATGGTTCTGTCCAGTGTTGTGTAAGACTGCAGTTCTGATTGAAAACATGTTGAGAGGCACTGATCCAAATAGGACCTGTTTGTCTGCCAGCTGGACACTGGAGGATCCAACCTGAGAGAAGGACAGAAAGAAAAATGATCTCAATGTTATTCATCATCGTTCTGTGAAATCCACTCATAGTGTTTTATTCTACATTAGTAGTTTACCCACTCTCCCTAAACCTTTTACAAAATGACTTTTGACAGCCCCCAGAGCACATGTATCTCGAGCATGTGTACGACTCAGTGAAGAGAGCAACAGTAATGATGACGATAACAGAACAGCAAGTGTTAGCAGCAGAGTTCTTCCATTGAAAGTCTGAAAGTCACAAGCTTTACTTAAAACACAACCCTTCTTGTTGAAGAATTGTGTTCTGGTCTACTGAGGCTGCTGTCAGATAAGAAATCGATATCTGCCTCTTTGATGGATTTGGCCGTGTATGATTTTTGAACATCGGGGAAAAAAAAGAAAATAAGTCAATAAAGAGGCCTTTTCTATTTGATAATCTATTCCATTTCATCACTGTTTCAGATTGTTGACTTTCTTTTGCTATTAACCTTTATTATAGTTGTCTTGAGCAATCTCAAGGTGACATTACATCATTTATGTTTTGCCACTTAGTGATGAATGTAAGCAAAACACCTTACAGCATAAAATAAGGAAATGGAACCCAAACGCAAGAATCCCTGGTAGTTGTATTAAAAGTGGAAGTGGATTTTCAACTATCTTGCAGAGGTGAACTGAAAACTTTCTGTGGATGTTCTGCTACCTCAGCTGGTATACACAGAAAACTTCTCACTACCAATCAATTGTAGCCTCTATGAATCCAACAGAAAGCCACTGGCCACAGCCATTCTTCAGCCTGAAGGAACAAGCTAAAAACGTATTACAGCAGATGTTCAAGTGTACATTCGATACCCAAGTGTTTGGACTCTTGTAAGCGAGCTAAGACAGAGTAGTTCTCAAATGGGCAAAACAAACCCGGGCAGAGTTGTGTGTCAGGATTGACACGTTGTTTACGTTTTGGTGAAAATATTAAGGCTGGGAATACACCGAGCATATAAATCAATGGCATTCAACGATCTGGCTGCAACCTAACACCGGTCTATGTGGTTTTGGCTACCGAATGGCAAAGATGTGATGAGCTCGGACATCATCAATCTCCCCACGCTACCCTCCTGACTGCACAAACAATAACCACCTGATGATTTAAGAATTTAGGAATATGTGATCGTCTAATGTTCCCTTCCCCAATTGGTCCAAAACACTAGTCTGGACTTGCCTGCCTGTCCCACATCCAAAGATTTTGCAAGCCCCTGATATAGATGCATAACAGTGGATTATGGTGCAGGAGTGGGTTTTCACCTCCTGGAGGAACTACTAACTGAGAGTTTGTGAGTTTTCGATGCTTTAATGATAGATTTTGGGTGTAATGTCACTAAGTTATTCAAAGCCAGCAAGTAGTAAACGTGAGTAGATCATACAAAATAATCTTCCCTATTGCACAGTCAGACCTTAGCAACACAGTGCAGGCGTTGTGTGTTGCCCTCATGGACACAGAGGTCAAAGTCTCCTTCTGAAGGGGAGGAGAAGGCTGGATGCCACACGACCTCACAGTCCAATTCGCTGTACGGCTCCACTGTACCTGGGGAGGGAGGGGAGTCTATTTGTTGTATCAGCTCTCATTCAAATAGGCAAATCTATTGATTTAAAATGCTTATTAACGTAATATAATAAAGTCTCATGAAGAAAAACAGAAAGGGAGAAGATGCAAACTGACATTCTTGATATTAGGGCTAAACCGGGTACTCACACCCAGGCACACTGAAACTAAGCTGCACTTTTAGCACCTGTAGCTGGTCGAATGGAGAACAGGATGCCACTCTCTGTGACTACTGGTCTCCACGTGAACTCTGCGGCGTGGTTACGCTGGTTTCGAAGAGTAACTGAGCTCCTGTATCCTGACTGGGCGAGCAAAAATGGGGTGGGGTGGAGCACCAGCAGGGAAGTGGACAGCTCAAGAGCCAAGGGGACGACCTGGGCCTGGACCAGGATCTGACCAGGGTGGTGCTGGTTCACAGAGTAGGATACAGGCCTGGAGGAAAGAAGTATGTTTATATTGCACTTGAACTAATTTTTATGCAATAAAGGTGTGTTGAGCCGCATCCCCCCCACCAACCTGTAGAAGGGACCCAGCTTGGTGCTTTGAAACGTCAGGGGCAGGGAGCTGTGGGAGTGGGGAGGCAGGACATGGGAGAGGGGTGAGGAGCCCTGCAGCTCAGGGCAGTCCACCTCCAGCTGCACCCAGACGAACACTGACAGATGATTGATCAGCTCCAGGTTCTGAACACATACCGACTGCACACAAACCTCACCAAAGTCCACTGACGATGGACCTAATGAGGAAAGTGTGAGATCTTTACTTTCCTTTCAGAAAGGGCATGAGGAGAAAGAACAACACACAAATACACACTCTCACACTTATACTGTTTTGCTGTATTTCACAGTTTGTTCTTGAGCTATTATTAGAAACAGTGGCAAGCACTTCTGAACTGAATATTTAACCTATGTCAACTTTGTAGAGCTCCTGAGCTGTCAGACTCTTGTTGCAGTCTGCCACCTCCTGGCTGGTAGAGGGAACTGCATTCATTACTTCTGAAACCTATAGAGAGAGAGAAATAGAAAGACATAAAACTTTACCCTAAATTTTGCAGTGAAATCACACTCTGTGCAATAGCTAACTGATCTATTACTATTTAATTAATTATGATGTTTTCTATGGGCCACCTTTGATGTGACCTGACTGTTGACCTGCCGGCTGATGGATCTCATGTCTTGGAGGCAGCTGTGTTTGGTTGCTGGGGAAGTACAGCTGAGGTTTGACTTGGTCTCTGAGATTTTACTGCTCTCCAGGTCTCTGATGTGAAGTTCAGGGGGAACAAGCCCTTGAGAAGGAACAATCCCAATATCCACATCGTCCTCCACTTTTTCCTGTTGTCTGACAACCAAAAACGAAGGTCCAGCTCTTTATTGACAAAAAAGACTTAAGATTGGCCATCAAACTATTCATAAAAAGCTTACCTCTGCTTGATCTTCTGCAGGCGTGTTTGTCTGATCTGTTTGATGAAGTCTGTGTAAATCTGTTGATGCTGCTGTCTCTGCTCCTCCTCTTCCTCAGTGAAAGCATAGTTGGTGTCCACATAGCGATAGCGGTGTACACCAGTAAAGATGGTCCTGAGTAC